ATATTACAGTACATGTAGGTACATGTGTGTGTTCATTGTCCTAGGAGTCATCAGCTAGTCAAAACCACTATTCTATCGGGTTGATTAATTACTGAACCTGCATGTAATTGAAAGACACTTTTGTTTTATTAGGTACATGTTTCTTACTGAAAACTGTGTGCGTGTACATATGCAGCCAATGAAATATTGCTCTAAAGCAGACATTTTTCCATAACTTATAGGGAATAACATGCAAGAATCACGTGAACGAGCAAGCGACATGCTACAAATGCTCAAGAAAGCAAAAGAGCTGAGTTCTAAAAAGTGTTACGATATTGAGGAAATTAGAAACCAAGGGAAAACAACAAAGAGGTAAGATCTTATGACTGTTATCATCAACGTGCACAATGTAGTAGTCATTGTTAAAAGTCAGAGCCAAACAGGAATTAAGTACAAAAAAAATACTGCAATTAAATTGGAATTATAAATAATTTATAACTTATTAAAAAATTGAATTTAAAACTGCAATTAATCTCTTACAGTACCTCTTTCTGTAATTTAAATATTCCCTGAAAAATTTCTCCTAAAAAAGTTGACAATGAGCTGAGGATAATGTAGTAATCTGCTAGCCCAGCAGAACAATTCACTAGCCCCTGACTATTGGACACAACTGTCTTAACATGATGGAAAAGCAGTTGTGGTTAGAATTTAGAAATAATTGCAAAACATTTAGTTACCTTAAACAAATGGTTTCTTGTTCCTGAATTATCTTGGTTTAAAGCATATCATGTTGGAAAAGGAGAGGGCTTAATTAAAATTGAAATATAGCTTTCTGATGTTAACTTTATGAGCAATAAATTTATAAATAAATGTACACTAAATAATTATAATTATTGTTCGTTTTGTGAAACTAAGTGTCATTATTTTGTCAGATCTAAAAACATTGGGCTTGGTAATGGCCAAAGGAAGTCAAGTGAATTTGAAGAATACATATTGGAGAAGAGGAAATACCTTCGAGATACTCTGAAGTTGTGTGAACGAGCCACTCAACGAGTGCTGCTATATTCTAATAACTTCTTACACAAAAAGCTCAAGACTGACCCATCAGTAAGTGATTAGTCATAGATACATGTATACATGTATTACTGTAAAATAAAGATTAATATACATGATTGTATTAATTATTACTATGCATGTACATGGGAGCTATAGTCTTTTGCTTACTGAGCATTTGTAATGTACTACAGATATCAGGCAGCTTTTCCCAGACACTATGGGTTTGGTTCCTGGTGGCTTGCTTGGTACAGGAGCTTTACATTGGGTACTCTACATGTATATACTCTAAAGCACATGCACAGTGTATGCTGGAATGAGTATACTAAGAAAAAATAAGTAATAATATTTTGTGGCTGTTTGATGGAGAAATATGATAAGATCTACTACACTAGTTATGTAAGCATTGTCAACATGGCACAAGGAGTGACTGGTGAGAATATTTCAAGGATATTCAAGGATCCTTCCTTCAGGGTCCTAACACGTCTTGCCAGGTTCTTCAAAGATCTTACATTGGCCAAGATCTTCAAGGATCTTGACAAATCTTGAAAGTCCTTGCCAAACCTTTTGAAGCTCATGCAGGATCTTTAAGCATAAAGACCTCCAAAGATCCTGGCTCAAAGATCGTGTGAGAATTTTCACATAAGTTAGTGTATGTGTACCCTGGACCTGATCAGTATACTTAACATCTTCATTTACACCCTCAGAAACCACTTCGTATTGTAAGGCAGAAAGGAAAGGCTGCTCTTGGCAAGCTGAAAGTTATTGAAGACCTCCCTAAAGAAAGGTGTTGTGTGGATAACTGTGTTATGGTGAGTGTGCAGACTCCTACCTTCTTCTTTTCCTTTTTGGTCTACACTTTTCTTGTAGTGAGTGGGGTTAAAACCATGGAGTCATTCCTCTTAGGATGTGTTCCTCTCATACAGTGTGTCACTTTGAATTACTTGAATGTATACCTGTCTAGTGATTGTTCATTGACGTCTTACATCAGAACGAACCAAGAGCAGGAAGTTATAAATAGATGCTGAGTGTTTTCTGGTTCAGATATATTTACATGCAAATTTTATACACTTGGGTGTTGTCTAGGGCTCACTGTTTTATTAAGACTTCTTCGGTCTTCAATGCTTTTGAATTCATAGATTGCTCTGACACACACAAACCTGTTGAAGCAGTGGCGTGACAGAGCTATCTCAGGCCAGACAGAAGCACGGAGAGTTCTGGCCGAGATGCTGACCCCTTCAGGAGGGGCTCGCTCAAATTGCTATAAGTTCATTTCTTGGGTGACAGGATGCAGTCATAGCACAATTGGTAGGGTCAATGAGCAGATGAAGGAAACAGGTGAGTGTGCTTGAGAGAGCATGATTAAGCTTAATCAACCAAAGTGACCATGTTTTAGATGTTAGTTCCCAAATAAATGTCAGACCTCTCCGGGTGAAATTTTCAGTCAATTCCTGTGACATTTATTTGAGTCTAGTGTTTACAATCATACCCATACCAAGTAGACACCGAATTTAACAGACACCCTTTATTACATGTAACTGAACATTAGCAAAGGTCCCTCATTTACTGTGAATTACATCTAATAAGCAGACATCTCTTTAGATGTGCGTGGATGTAGACACCTAGAAATTGGCCGGAATGATTATTTCCATTAAAAAATTAATTTAAAACGTGGTCTCCAAAATCACCACTATACTCCCAAGCTTTCAATAGGGAAAATACAGTAAGTTGAAGCTCTTTATAGAAACAAATTCACTTGAGTAGGCGTTAAGCAGAATGAGTGAATGGGTGAAACAGAAGCACCAGTACAATATAGGTCAGGGCTGCCATAACAAACTTGTTACTTTGTGAGTGAATTGTATTTCACCAGTAACATCAAATTCTTATCAAGTATACTTAGCTGTAACAGGTGTTACAGGTTACAGCCCTTAATGACAGCCCTGTTGGTGGGACTGTAGCTCTGACCCACTTTTCATTGTGGTTCTTTTGCAGGTGGAGACCGTGAACCTCCATCACATGGCCTCATAAAATGGTGGCAGGAAAACCCCAAACCCAAGAAACCCAAGGTCAATCCAATAACTGAGGAACAGGCACAGGTAGATACTGTTCAGCAAGTGGCAATGCAGCAGATCCAGCAGAGTTTGCCACAGGTCAACATTTTACAAGCGGCAGTTAGTTCAGCTGGCCTATCAGCTGTCATGATGCAGCCTGCAGTGTCTTCGGGGATGCCAGCACTTACTACTGTCAACACCTCACAGCTGGCACAGCCACAGCTACTTCCTACGGTCACATTCACTAATGGAGCAATTCAGGTGCAGGCTGCCCCCATTCAGGTTAGTGTTCCTGTGTAGGATGTACCCACTGGTATTCATGTGCTTGTACAAACTGCACCCTTTAGCTACATGTGTGTCTGTAAAAGTGGCACCCATTCAGGTTAGCTGGTGTGCTTACAGCAGACAGGCTGTGCTCTTTCAGGTTAGTATGCCCTTGAAGCTGTGCCCATTCAGGTTTGTATTCCTGAGCAGGCTGTAGCCATTCAGGTTGAGGTGCCTTGGTACATTAACCATTCTTCAACCTGCCAATGGCACAAAATGCTTGACACAACTATAACTTACTCTTTAGATTCAAACAACTCAGACAATCCAAGTTCCTCAAGTTCAGGTGCAGGTTCAACAGCAGTTACAGCAGCAGCAATTACAATACCAACAACAGATCCAACAGATCCAGTTACAGCAGCTTCAGCTTCAACAGCAACAGCAACAACTTCAACAACAACTCCAACAGGCACAACAGGCGTCTCAACAACTGCAGACACATGTGAGTGATACGTACAGCGGAAGTTTAGTCCATTGTTTGTTGTTGTTCCTACTTCCTAGCTTGGATTTTTTTAGTTGTTGAGTACTGCTCTGGATACAATAATTCTTTACTTGACACTAATATTATAACTAGAACCTTGCCTGGAATAAATTATGTTCACTGATACGTGTCAAATTCCAAATCCTGACTTGTAGAGCACTAGGCTTTCTTCGGAGACACTTACTCGCGGATGCAGTACAACAGGATTTTGTTTTACAAACTAACATGCTCTATTGTAGGTGGTTCACCAGTTGCAGTCTGCGGTACAACCAATTCAGCAGCCTGCCACTCAGCAACAACAACAACAACAGCAACAACAACCACCTCCACAAGCACAAACACCACAACAACAGCAGCAGCAAACACTGCAACAAACTACTCTACAAACAACTCAGGCTCAACAACAACCTGTACAGAACCCCGAGTCTCAGGAAACACCACCCAACGTCGCCATCACCATGGCAACGTCTAATACCTTAACAACCGCCGCTCTACAAGGAAACCTGACGGCCGCACAGGCGACACCGCTTAACACCGAAAGCTTGTTCACGACGGACGCGTTTCACATTCTCAGTGCTGTGCAGCCGCAAGTGGTCACGCTACCAGTCTCGCCCCAGTCCACCGTAGCTCAGGCTGTACCTGTATCGCTGATCCAGACTCCTAACGGACAACAAGGCCTGCAGTAGATTGAGTTCCAATGGGCGTGCTTTTTAATGTTGGCAGTGGGATGTTTATTACGTTAGTGGGAATTTACAAACAGTAGAGATGAACCATACAAAGTGGAGGCTTCAGTGAAGAAACAGCCGATTTCTGAAAATATAAATTATACATTGTCAAATAGATAGTGATGAAAATAAAGAAAGTCAATCACGTCATAACATAATGTTAATTATGGTGTTAATGATGAGGTGTAAACCAAGACATTCTCAGAACTAACATTAGAAGAATTGTATGGTGACTAGTAAAGAGAATTTAGCTCTCGACTGAACATGTCGAAGAATAGTGCCAACGTCCAGCACGGGTATTGTGCAAAGGGTGAAATTAGCAATAAATGGTATCAAAAAGGTGTTAAATGAACATTGATATGGTGCCTCGAGGAATAAAATGTTAAGTGAAATTCACTTCTGGACGGGGAATTGCACGTGTATATATTATAGAAAGAGAGAAGCAAGCAAGTACGCTATTTTCGAAAGGACTATACGGCTCATGTTAAAATGTTAAATGTTGAATGTTTATCGTGGTCGATGCCCTTACCCACAACTAGCTAGTTCTCAGGCATGCCACTTAAAATGTAAGAAAGAAGCATGTCAAATAAACAAAATAAGGCTTAAAAATCCCAACTGGCGGGAGGCAGACCAGTTGGCTATTTACAAACACGACCAAGGTTTTGAACTACGGTCTACGAAGAAACAACTCCAGCTTGGTGGTCAGAGCGGGATTTAAACCCACGACCTCCGGAGTTAGAGACCGGGGCCCTAACTACTGGGCTACGCTACCCCACGCTGCTGCCACAAGTGGTTTTGCTGCCAGTCATGAGTGCTAAACATAAACTACTGTATATTACGCCTCTTGTGCTGAGAATTACATGTAAGTCCATGGAATAAGATTACTGCAGTCACGAAGAGCTTTTTGTATGCAAAAAGCTATCGACTGCAAAGCTATCTACAGTGGAATCCGAATTTCTCGAACCCTCGATATTTAACTCGTGATTGCGTTAGCGAGTTATGAGTTGTAGCGGCTGGTGATATTCGAATCTGCCTCCAGGATTCTACTGTAGGTGTATGGGAACGTGCCACCCCATCGGATATGGAATTCCGTATGTGTTTTAGGAGAACTTTCATATACGCATATCTCTTTTCATCAAGTCTTTCAGTCTTTCGCTATTCACGGCCTGCATTTATTGAAGGCGATCTTTCTCATAGGTTCGATTACCAGTCGCTGTTCGGGAAAGGAGCTCGCGCTCCTCCCCCGAAAGGAACGCAGACCGGGTTCGAGAAAGCGGCGGAAATCGATCCTATCTTTCCATTAATATTTCCCAACATTAAAATAAATTTCTAAGGATTGCAACAACGTAAAATATGAACAAATAAGCATATAAGGGATAATCGAAGACGAAATACTTTGGAAGAACATTTCTGAGTTTGCAACTTTAATAATTCCTAAATCCTCTTGCTAAATAATAACAAAAGCCCATCATGATGGCAGGAGCCACGCGACTTATTTACAGTTGTGGAGGCTGGTGTCTTAGCCTACACTCGCATGTTGTTACAGAAGGCCTAGGTTACACAAAACACAACTACATTCATAGTGGTAATAGAACTCTGCACTTCATTGTCTTCTTTCTCTACAAAATTTATTTTTATATACAGTATCAGCCATTGTAAAATTAGACTATGCCCGCGATGACTTGAGTATCACGAGTCAAAAAGTGGTTATTGCTCTAACTGAATTCACTAAACACTCCTGATTATAGCCTGCGTGCAGGCTGTAGTGTTTGGTACTGCTTTCTTTCGATTTCTGGCTTTTTCGCTTTAGCGCGCGAGCGACCTTGAGGGGTTAGAAACTCGACTCGCAGGCGCGCTTTGCGCCCCCAGCCCAAACAAGAGAGCCTGCTCACAGGCTTACCAGATTATAAACGTGTTCAACTCTCACAGACTGATGCCAGACTATCGAACTTAGTGATAACTGTATTCCAAATTTGCATGATCTAGTTATCTCTACAGCCTGTATTTGCTACCATATACGTAGACTAGTGGCCCAGCCCCACTTCAGCTACAAATGAAATCAATAGTAACCGAGAATTTCAAATTGTGGTCGCAGGAGTCAAACTGCGGCCTTTTCTCACTTAACGTTAGTTACTGTTAACACAGAACATTCGTGAGACACGTAAACTGAGCAGTTTTCCTGCTGATTCTCGTCGATGCGCCTGTCGTCTATCGATCTAGTTGGGTTGTGCTGCCTAACACACTGCAAGTTTGCTAGCCTATTGCAGGTGTTCAGTTAGTTTCTATCGCCGCGGTTCTCCTCAATTTTTTTCGCTGGCCGTTTTTCGTGCTGCGCACCAACTGAACGCCTGGAAGAGGCTACAAGTTTGCGATAGTCGGTATCTGGGCGATACCAATCGCAAGATTATTGCATCTTTTATCAATACTGTACAACTGTTAAAAAGCTATTCCCCTCGTGGACTCCCTCTTCTCTTTATACACTCGTTCATATTTTCCCCTCTTACTATTCTAAATCGGCGAACACAAAATGAAACCAACTAAAGCGTATTTTTTTGGTTAGTTGCGCGTGTTTTCGTGACTAACAAGCTTTAGACTAAACTATCCCTATCATACTATATAAGTTCTTTGCACTTTCCCTCCATCCTGCCTCTCTGAGAATGGTAATATTTAACAATTAAACAGCGAGCTCGAGGTTTCTATCGGTTGATGATATCACAGTCGATAGCAACCGAAAGCGAGCCATCATAACCCACTGACCGGTCTAACCGATTCAAGAATTTTCATTGGCTTAGCCATCATGGTATATAAGCCATGATACCACGTTCTACAAATATGGTAAGCGTACGCGGAATTGATTCCGGCGTTTTTCTTTTTATTTTAGTTTTCTATATTTTGGGGTGTTTTTAATAAAACATTCATTTCACTCGCGCTTGTTGGATATGAGATGTTTATAGCCAAATCAGCGCCATGCGCCTCGTTGGCTATCTACCATCTCATATCCAACGCGCGCTCGTATAATAATACTTAAATAGATAGCCCCTGTGTAGCCAATCAGATTGTTAGTATACCTATTCGTCAGTGGGCTATCCTAAGATTCTAATATATGCCTAGTAAGTACTATTCTTGATTAGAAGTGACAGCTTAGAAATTCATCACTGGATTACTAATCGTACTACAGTACATAGCTTCGTCGAACATACTTTGAAGCTAACTATTCATCAAAAGGTTATTATATTTTCCCATATGTTTTGGAAGATTTTAATACGAATAATTCATATAATGGTACGAATGAAACGTTTGGTGTGACATTTGGATCCTACGTTGCCGTGATTACTACTTAAGGTCTTGATGGCACAGGAGGGCGACCGGGTACCGGCGGTGGAGGGGCAGGTTTGCCAGGTGCGTTGGGTCTCCTGTGGTGATGGAAAAGGTCAAATTAACATATCAGAGAAGGTCACTGGAACACACACACTTATTACAATGCTATCCATCGTAGTTCATCTAGCGAAAAGCGGGGAAAATGACAAAGAAGGGGTTCAGAAGGATCGGTACCATCCATGTCAATATGAGCAACGGTATCAAGTGCAATCTAAGTCTTCGTTTGCGAAGTACATGCACCTATCTTCAATCAAAGGAAACATGACCACTGTTAGTTAGGTTTTCCAACATGCGCCAACCGTGAGGTAGTGAAATCTCTATGAAATCTCTAGCCTCCAAGCATACGCTCTAAGGGCTCGTCACGCGTTCCTTCTTCTCGTGGGGAAGTAACGCGTGGA